GTGTTTACGAGACAATCATTTTTTTTTCTTATATATTTTACTACATAATTTCTAAATACCTATAAAAAGTTTAAAACTTTCTGCTAAAATAGAGCTCCAATTTAAAAAATGATTGAGTAAATAATTAAAGACAGTAGTTTAACGATAATTTCGAATTTCACGAAATATAATTTTAAAAAGTTAGAAGATGATTTTTTTTTTATTTGAAGAAATTTGGTAGTATAGTTTACCATAACAATCGCAATAATGAAAACAATTTTTAAATTTAGTCTTGACCAACTTTTGTTCTTAGCAAAGCTAATTTTTTTCATTTCTAATTCCACATTTTTTGGGTTTTCAGGAATAAATCTAATGACATAATTGACTTAGATATTTAAAAAAACTCTGCTTTACAAAATTTTTACAGCAAATTTTTTTTCTACTAAAATGAGATAAGGATTAAGAGAGAAGCAGTGAGGGACGGGTACTTCGCTTCTATAATAAAATTTTCTCGATATAATAATATGCCTGATGTTTATAAACAGTATCAATTCATATTTGTAGTTACTTTTTTGCATTTGTGTACCGTCCCTTCAACGGTGACACTTGTTTATAAATTTCTGATATTATTATATTAAGAAACGTTCCTTTGCAATCCGTCCGTATTGTTATAAGTATTTCTTCATTACCATGATCGCAATTTTTGTCAATTAAAAGACCAAAACAGAGTTTTCTGATAGTTCAGTCCCTAAGTATATATAAACGTAAATTTTTGTTTTCATTCAAAAGAACATTGTTAATTCACTTATTATTTTTCTGTGAATAATAATTACCATTTTTCGTGTTACTCTTTGAGACGTTTAATTTAAATCGCATCTTTATATGTATTCGGTGTAGACGTAATTCGCTAAACGTATAATATTCTAAACGTAAAAAATAAGTTTTCCCAATAACATACAGAATAGCAGTATTCAAAGAGGTACATATTTTTCTGGAATACTGCTTATTTTTAACCTGACTTACGTGTTGTATTAAGCAGAAATAAGTTGCACTTATATGTTACATTGCACAATTTTATTTGTTTTGAATACTTTGTGTACTTGCTGGGAATGTAACTATGTATAATACGTTAGGTAATTTATTATGATGATAAAGTTTTATAGGGGACTTGGACATTAAAAGAAGTAGAACTTAATTTAATTGAGTTGGACGTTTCGTCCCTTTATTGGGACTTCTTCAGCAACTGGAAAATTTATTTTCTTATACATTTCTTATTACGATACATGCGTTTTATACAATAT